TTTCCATTGACCAGTTGCCCAGACCGTAAATAAAAACCGTGCATCATATGGCTTTAGGGATATTAAGCCAATAACGGATGATCAAATGGACAAGAAAATGGAAATTCAAATGAAAACCGCGTCGTCTACTAGTGGCTTCATAGGGAGAACTACGAATGTTATGCAGTAGGCACCAGATGCCCCATACCACAGCCACCGTCTCAGCCTTTGTTTCCAGTCGTTTCCGCCCATTGGGACGCAAGTGAGGGTTTCCCCAAATTGGGTGCACTTTCTTGGGGATCCCCATAATGAGGACTGTGGTATCTGGGGAGCTATGCTTATGGAAACTACCAAACATGCAGTATGTTCGTTTAGCGTCATCCACCCATGAGCAAGAGGCGTTGCATGGTGGGCAGGATTGACGAACCTGTGTGTGATAACAACACTGTAGCCGCATGTCGAAATGGTAGTTTCCATAAATGGGGACCCTAACATACATCTGTATTCTGATTCTACACAGCTCCTTGGGGAGTCAAACAAGTTCCTTCAGTGAAGATACCATTCTCAGTATTATTACTGTCATTGTGAGCATTAGTAGGAGGTCTATTACTCCTAGCTTACTTGGGCCAACCCCAAACCGTAAACCCCAAACCCTAAACCCTAGGCCCCAAACCAATCAAACAAAAGAAAAGAGGAAAAAGCAAAAGTAGCTGCATCTTTGGGGATTCACTGGAGCCAGTCTGGGCCCAGAATTGAAACTTTGCTCGGCTCTACTGTAAATATTGGCCTTACTAAGGGACCCTTTACAGTGGACATAGGGGTCCCTCTTGTAGTTTATGTACGGAGTACAGTCCCTAAATTAGTCCTTGATCAGGAGCCCATGTCAAAAACTTTCTGGGAAATATTGACTGTAGCTCAGTTGATCTTCGCAGCATGTTTCGACGACCCTTACTACAGTTCCATACTGTCCACAAAGTCTAGACACATCCCACTGAAGCAAGGGGGGCGGGTACGTCTCCATTAGGTTACATAGTATTTTCATAGATCTTGTATCTAACATGCCTAGATAACCAAACCCAAACAGGAACGGAAGGGTATCCACCAATCCCTGCAAACCCGTCCTTCAGAGAGGTTACCCTTCCCCAAATTGGCAGTTTTCAAAAAAGCACTAGCCTTTACAGGGTTCTTCAGGGGTTCAATGCAAGTTTGGGGTAGGGAAGTTTGTCAACATTTGGATGTTTGTTCATCGCGGGCTCATTCCATGGATTGGAGGTGAATGGGTCATGTGCCAGATCCCTCCTATTGAAAAATGAGCTATAAACCCTAAATCCGTAGATCCTGTGGGGCCCCCATAAAGCACTGCAAAAATGGGGGCCCCACAACGTTCCACCCTCCAATAATGATAGTAATAGTAATGTCAAAGCTGTGTTTTCCCGTGAGCGGTTCCATCTTTCATGCGCCAGTAATGTCGCCTTACCTAAATCTGACCTGCTCAGCTTCTTGTCCTTTGGAACATCATGTACTGCGGCTGCGAACTTATCATGCCGGGGTGATGGGGCCAGGGTGGCACAACACTCGAACTCGTCGTGCGAAAACAGTGTATTGTCCAAGCCATCCGACCCAAAGAACATTCGGTCAGACCAGCATGATCGTGGTACAACACTGGTACGAACATAAAATAGAGCGCTGAGCTTTATCCCTTGCATCGGTTCGCAGTTTCCTTTCGGTTGTGACATGGTCATTTGCTAAGTCCTGCGGACACCTGCGCCAGATTTATTTAAGGAGCTCGCCGTCGTGAAGCCACTTAACATGGATAAGCACGTGGGATGATCGGTTTGGAATCGTGCCGAAGAGCATGCGTGAGATGCACAATCCAGACATTCGCAAGCTTGCAATCCCTAGCCCTAAACCCTAAACCCTAAGCTGCTCAGGCAGGCCGAGCAAAGCTAGAGGTTGTTGGCATGGACGCCTATCCCAGCAGTCTGGAGCGCAGCCGGACTTTCATTCATGACTGGACGAAGAAGGAGGTCAGCTGCCTTGATCAAAGCTTTCAGCTTGCATAAGATCGCTATTATTAAGATGTTGTTGTCTGATACCACTCCTATTACTACCATCGTTCTTTCTATTAGATGCTTATGTGCACGAAGAGCGATCAGATTCTGAACTCAAGTGCCTCCGTCTTCGTCAACACACACATGTCCAACTT